AATAAAGTTATCTGAGTCTTAGTGGGGCAACTATAACTATTTCTATCAAGAATACAATATAAGGTCTGGCTCTGTTAATACAGAAAGATGAGCTGGCCTGATGCGTTATGTTTGTCATCACTAATTGCTTAGTGATTTTTCTGCCCAATATTTTTTCTGCCCAATATTTATTATAAAGCATTTAAATCCTTATTTGAAAAAACTATGGTTTCCATTCTTATTTCTATCAGTGATGCTTTTCATGTGTGTATACACATGCTAGTCTTTTCCTCTTCAAGTCCCAATGATCTATTGTTTTTCTTTTCTCATTCAATCCAAAAAAAGATCTTGCAGCATTTTCTTTTGAGATGTTTCTCATGATCATGCTTTTTTCTGTTTTCCATTTTAATTCATGCTTTTATCACCTTGCTTCTAGATTGTAGAGTTCATTTTTTACCCGATCTTCTTATCTATAAACTAGAGGCCTGGTGCACAAAATTTGTGCACTGGGGGAAGTGGGTCCCTCAGCCCAGCCTGCACCCTCTCGCAGTCCAGGACCCCTTGGGGGATGTAGCAGTGCGCCAAGTGGCAGGCAGCCAGGGAGGAGCCTGAATCGGGGCCGGGCGCTGTGCGGCTCATGCTCAACCTGGCCCGCTGGGCCTGCTGCCGCAGAGTCGGGAGAGGCTCCTGCCATGGCAGCTGCGCTTGCCAGCCGTGAGCCTGGCTTCCAGCTGAGCAGCGCTTCTCCTGTGGGAGCACACTGACCACCAGGAGGCAGCTCCTGCATTGAGCATCTGCCCCCTGGTGGTCAGTGTGCATCATGGTGACCAGTCATTCTGGTCCTTTCTCTGTAAGGGTCGCTTAGGCTTTTATTATATAGACTAGAGGCCCGGTGCACAAAAATTTGTGCACTCGGGGGGGTCCCTCAGCCCGGCCTGTGCCCTCTCACAGTCTGGGACCCCTCGGAGGATGTCCACCTGCTGGCTCAGGCCTGCTCCCTGGGGGATCGGGCCCAAGCTGGCAGTCAGACATCCCTCTGGCAGCCCGGCAGCCATCGGGGGATGTCCACTTTCCAGCAGGGAGCAGACCTAAGCTGCAGTCGGACATCCTTAGTGCTGCTGAGGAGGCGGCAGAGGCTCCCGCCACCACCGCTGTGCTGGCAGCCATCAGCCTG